GTTAAGTGTAAAATTTAATTGTATATATATTATTTTGTCCTATCAATAAAATTTGTATAACCTACTCTAACCTAATCTAAAGAAAAGGGGAACCGAAGGGTTTTTCTTGTTGAAGGAAGGCACAATTAAGTGGCAGAATGGGAGGTCAAGAGTTCAGGACTTAATGTCTTGATAGTACCAACAATCCAACAGGCTGTTGGCTTATAATTTAATAATATATTGATTTGTAGTATTGTTGTATATGTACAAATGTTCAGGAGATGCAAGGAAAGACATTTGAGTTATAAATTCTATTTTATAACAAAAAATGGAAAAATAAATTATGTAGTTAGCTAATTCGGTTTTTCTTTTCTTAGCTAACTATATGTTCCGAAGCAAAGATTTTGGTATAGAAAGTTATATGTGCAGGCATTGTGCATTAATGGAAGTATAGAAACACATTAGAAGGCTAATAGCAAGTTAAGTTATGCTATAGATGTTATGCACGTATCAGGTTAGATCCCGTCTTCCTTTGATTTTTTAGTGCTAGAAAACAATAAACAGTATTCGTGGAAATAATTTTGTGAGTTCAAAAATTTATTGTGATTTTAACAACTTCTCAAATGAATGTATGATTGAAGAAATGATATTCTTTAGTAAAACTAATGCATTTTTCTCTTGCTAAATCAAAGGTAGGTGATTCCACATGTAGTTTTAATAAATAAAAAAAAAAATCCTGCAACAAACTTTTCTTTTAGTCCTAATTATGCATTGTTTTTCATTCCTGAACATGGTAGTCTACTTGTTTAATTCTTGTTTTAAGATTGTAGTTTTCAATTTGTTTTACGGGTCAATGTTACTTATTTTGTAACTTACATCTACGAAATATAATTGTATCAACTACTTTAATTAAATATTTATACCATAATCCTACCAAGTATGTTAAGACTAAACAATCAAAAGAACTGAACTTCATTTTTATTAGAAGTCATACATTAAATATTTAGATATTGAGTTGTAGGTCATATCAACTAAGGTAGGATATTAAAGATAGTTTTTTCGCATACCATTATTTCTTAGATAATAAAAGATATTTCTTCTTAAAACATTTTGTCTTAGATGTCAATTAATTTTCTTTCTTGATTCGAATGGCATGGTTTTGATTATAATTGGTGCATTACATCATATGTATAATTCGATAATTTCATGCAATTAGCCTTTGAATTAGTTATTCATACCAAAAACCACCACACATAAACTCATATGTATTCATTCCAAATGTGTTAGCTTCACAATTCTTAGCTATGTTTTGATCCACAATATTATTAAAAAGCCTTTCAACATACTAGATGCAGTCCAGTTAAAGAAATAGTTAAGAACTATTTTAAATAAAAGTCAAACCATAAAAGAGTATTTCGTTTAATAGGTTCGACTAACGAGTGTTCTAGGACACGCGTTATTGGTTAAAAGGACGTCGGTTGTTAATACTTTAGCAAAAGTGTAATTATTTCAGAAGAGTGACTGTGTGTATTCATATTGTAAATTCGGTGCAAGTTAAGTGTTTTAATGAGTTTCGACACTCCTTAAAAAGTCCTTGACTTATTAATTCTTGAGAGTGCAACTCCCTTTAAATTATCGAAAATAAAAGGAAAAAACAAAGCCTGACAAGAAACAGAAAAGTCTTCAACGTGTTTTTAAGGCTTTAAGCACCGCAGAAGAGTCTTCTAAGAAATTTTGCACAAGAATTGCAGTGAACTTGACTCTCAAATGTGAAATCAAATCAAGGCCAGAAAGAACACGTTACAAGTCTTCCTTGGTCCCCCTAAGATGCAGATTGGAAAGACCTTGACTTAGACTTTAAATGCAGATCTTTAAACTCACGCTACCTCAGAAAGATTTGATGGGAATTAGCTGAAATATCAATGTCGTTGTTACTTAAGCAGAAGAGTCTTCCAATTGCATCTCAGATGCTTTTGACGTCCAAGGTACATCAGTTGACAACTAGTACTCTTCTTTACTGATCAGCCCGTGGACCCTTAAGTTTTTGGCTGTATCAATTGACAAGTTTTGCTCTGACTACTTCTTTTATATTTTATTAATTTCCACACCACTTGTACAATTTTGATACTAGACTGTGGAGGTGTCCTTCCTATAAATAACCCTTCATTGAGCAGCTATTGTTATAGTTGTCATTCACATCTTCATTATGAATCCGCAAATCTTCATTCACATCGCTCACATCTTTCACATCGGTCACATTGTCACTCACATTGGTCACATCGTCAAATCTTCATTCAAACGGAAACGGGACAGAAACGGTCATCAGAATTTGGACAAGGACAGAGACAGGGACCGTTTCTAAGCAGTTCATGGTCAGAATTTAGTCCAAAAAAATTATACGATTTGAATCACTTCTTGTATTTCGTTTTTAATAACGTATGTGAGGTACACAAAATTTCAGGTTTCTGAATGCTGCATCTATATGCAGTTGAAGGCTATCTCTCAAAGTTGGTAGGCTTTTGTGTTTTTGTTCGTGTCCAAGCCATGGGCCCTAATAGCTTCTTCTTAAGTGTGTTTTTTATTTTAAATGTATAGTTTAGGGATTTGGTGGTGGTGTTCCATGTTTGTGAAGGGAATTAATGGCGGTGTTATCTGATAAGTTAATAAAGTTCAGAAGTTTTCAATATTTGCACCCTAGAAATTTTGGTCTTTTGAAGTTTTTTGTTTTTTTTCCATTCAATTATTACCTTATATGCATCGAGATGTGACAAGAAAATGATATTGTTCTTGAGAAAAACCATAGCCTACTCTTGATTGCTATTGGCGTTCTCTCACTGCCTTGATTGTGCTTCCTTATGAGATGTAATTTCAGTGTTCTGGCGTATGATGGTTCGACCTTGGAATTTTGGTCTTTTGAAGTTTTTGTTTTTTCCATTCATTACCACCTATATGCTCGACAAGAAATGCAAGTTGGCTTGAGCAAAAAAACACAGCCTACTCTCGGTCGATATTAGCATTTTCTCGTTGCCTTGATTGTGCTCGCTTATGAGATGTAATTTCTACTTTGGTGTATGATAGTTCGGTTTATTGGTGGGCTCTGATCCTTTTGATAGTGTTGTTTAGACTTTAGAGATGTCTAATGGTAAATATAGATTACTTGCAAGTAATCTGCAAAATTAGTTCCTTTAGGATTCTGCTCAGTAGAACTATAGGTTGATTTTGTTGTGGTCTGTAACCAATAATTGCCTTGCGGTTTGCTTTACCACGAGTTAAACGCTTTATACCTGTGAACTAAACAGACCGAAGGAGAGCCTCAAGCTATTAGATTATCATCAACTTCCTTTTACAAGAATACAGTTACAAAGGATCTCATAGATGGACATCTTGTATTCGTCTGAGGACTTAGAAAAGTTGACCATAGTATATTGTTTGATCAAGTTGAGATAACCAGCTTGAAGAAGTAGTTGATACACAAAGGCTTTTCTTCTTCCTTTTTCAGAAGTGGTTAAACAGAGTATTCTATTCTCTAGATACAAATGATAGGTTTACGCGCTTTTTGAGGGCAGAGCTCGTGGTTTAGATGCATTAATTTTCTCTTCTTGAGGTATATTTCTAAAAAATCAGAAATGCTAGAAAAGTATTTTTCTGCACTACTTCTGAGAGAGAGCCTCTCTGTCCAAAAAATTTATTAACTTCTACGTCTTTGACCCTTGCTGCAAAGAAGAATAGTTAACCTAAAAACTGGTTTCTTTTAATTTTCTTCCCTTCATCAAAAAAGAATATTCGATTTATGCTTTTTCATTTATTTTGTAAGTATCTGAATGAATTTTTGTTGTTATTAGAGAAGGCAACAAATTCAGACAAATCTATCTAGCACCAATTGAATAATAGGTATTTTCTTGCTTCTTTTTAGCCGTTAAGTCATTCAAAAATATATTATTGTTTTATTCTTGCTGCCAATTGGAGAGGTAAGTGAGTCACAGACATAGGCCGCTGTTTACTTGCTTCAATGACTTGCTATGATTGGATGCGTACTATTTCCTAAGAGTTAGACTGTCCTTTGTATAAATTTCGGCCACTTGATCCATTGTTTTTTGTACTTTCATCGTACATTCACCATTAGATTGGACCATAAATCATTGGAGCGGTTTACGTACCATTAACCTATTTTATTAGATGAAATTTTTGACAACAAATAAACAAGAAGGTTACATTTGACGAAGCAGATTAAAGCTTCGAAATCAAGCCACCAAAAGACTAAGGGGGCGCTTGGCTCTTGCTTTGGAATTGAAAAAGGAAATGTAATGATGGATAGAAGACCCACTAATGAGAGTTTTGGTTAATTCCTCCCAGTTTGGTCGGGAATCATAAATAGCTAAATTTTAAGACATGGTTTCAATATTTCAATTCCCATTACACTGAACCAAGCGCACAGTATTGGAATTATTGTAATTCCAAGTACCAAAACCCCTAAACCAAGCGGCCCCTTAGTAATTGGCTGTTAGTTTGTGGAGTTGGATTTCCTGTCTTTTCATCATGCTTATTCAAATCGATGCGGTTATAAGTTTAATTTTCTGGTCGTTTGTTACAAAATACCCACCTCTTGTGCCGCCCACTCATCCTCCCCCGGCTCCCTTGGGGTTTCCAATTTACCAATTTGTAGGCGTGGGTTTTCTGTATGTTTCTGTTTATTTATATCGATGGATCCAATTATATCTATCTAAGTATATGTTTCCACTCTTATTATGAAACTTAATAACTTTACCAGTCTTTCCATTAGCATTTAGTGCCCTTGTAATAGCATATTCTTGAATGTATTAACTTGAAATATTTACTGAATCATCCTGGAGTTTATCATATACGTCAGTTTTGCTTTTGCACTGAATCCCATCAACTAGCTTACAGTTTGATTAGTTGCAGCTTATTTTCTGCAGAAATTTTTTTTTTTTTATGTTTTTCGTGAGTATATTTTCAATCATCTTTTCATCTCATATATGTCAAATTATTACGATATAATTTTATTTTTTTTACAAAAATTCTTCAAAATAGCAATTCACATAGACTTGAGTTTCAATATAATTTTATCCCTAAAACTGTCCCAGTGTATGTATGTTGAATACTAAGGCCTTGTTTGGATTGCTTGTTTTCGTCAAAAAATATTATCGTTTTCCGTGATCACATTTTCCTATCACCTTTTTCCCTTACATATATCAAATCGCTACAGTATTTTTTTCATGAAAAATGACGGAAAATGCAATCCAAACACAACCTAATGCTTCCGTTAAAGTAAATCAATAGGTACTGGTCTCATTAAAGAAATGCTGACAATTTAATAACACCTAAAACCTGGGCAAGTCCCAAATGAACAGTAACACTTCGTCCAGTTTCACCATTATTTTGTGCGAAATATATGGGCGATAATGTCATTTCAGATGAAGTTAGGCACCACTCCACCACAGCTGCTGAAAGTCTGAAGCTAAGACGTTCCCTACTTCCCTCGACATAATCTGTTCGCTTCCCTTCCTTCTCATTTTGGTTCCCTGTTTTCAGCACCCACTCGCCACCACCGTTTACGGGATCTTCCTTTTCCCCTTCCTCCCTCATCTTCTCTTCACACTCCCTCGTCAAATTCCATCCTGTGGTTCACAGAGTTGAAGCTGCCAACCGGACTATTTCATTTCTTTTTCCCTCTCTTCCCCTCCTGTTCCTCTCTGCAACTTGTCGTTTTACCTTATCCATAGTAACCTAGGAGAACCCTTTAATTTTCCTCTGTTTTAAGTCAGCAAGGCTTCAGCATTTGCTCAAGGAAAATGAATCATAAATTTGTAAGGGAATAAAATACTGCAATTGATAGTTGAGGGGGCCAGCACGTGAATTAGTGATGGTCCAAGGTTACAGTTTGCAATTACAGAAAAATAAAATTAAGGAAATATGGAGAGTGAAAAATTCCTTTTAGACTTGCACTCACTTGACCTTTCGCCTCAATTCCCCCCGTCACCTCGTCTCTGGGTAACTATCCTGACAATTCTCTCGTCAACGGATACGGGGCAGGAGCGGTAGGACCGCTCCTGAACGGTCCTCAGAAGGACCGCTCCTGAATGGTCCCCTCACAGAAAGAAAGGTAAGGCCAGAAATAAACCACGTCAAAAGGCTTCAGTTTGGCCCAAAACGACGTCGTTTTATTAAGTGAGACAGTAAAAAAAATGGTTATGCTCTGCTGACCGTAACGGCAAGAAACGGAACGTTATGACCACTAGTAAGCAAAGTCCCGCCCAAACCGAAAGGTTGAAAATGAAAAGCCGCACTTAGACTCCCACCCAAACCAGACGAAGCAGTTGCATGCGAAAAGCCACGAAGGGAGAAATAAGAGGGGAAAATACGAGATTGGCAACACTCTCCGGCGTGACATTGCGAAAAGCTGTGGAAGTGCAACATTGGATACTGAAAAAATAGCAATGAGAAGCAAGAAGTGGTGGAGTGGTGGACAAATTTCTGGTGATTTGGATTTATTATAAGAAGAAGAAAGGTGAACCCAAGGTTGAAGAGCGGAAGATCGTAGGCGCGGGAGTAGTGAACGACCGAAAATCAGTCAGGTATTCAAATTTTTTGAGGCCTACGATGATGCAGTAACATGTGTGATTTGACATGCTTGTTGAAGGACCTTACTTGTGGATGTTGTTGGCGTACAGTAGGATGATCGCTTAGAGGGATATCACGTGAGCACAATTTTGTGTATAGTAATGAGTAAGTGCAGCATGATAGGAGTATTATGAGTTAGTTTTTGAGCATGACAGAGTGAGAGTGGGAAAGAAGGGGGAAATCGTGCGGCACAACTGCTTGAGAAAATGTGTGCATGGGTTCGATAGTTAGTATTGAAAAAATGGATGCAGATTATAATTGAAAAAATGTTATCATGAAATTGGGATGGCATTTTTGGGTCTTGAATGGTGTAAGTTTATTGTATTAGTTCGTGTGCACGAACACAGTGTTGGATAATTGTTACATGTTGTGGTTGAACAGGTACATAGAAATAATAGAGTTCAAATGTTTTGTACTGAGTTGTGCGTCTCATATTTGCTAATGAAAATGCTATTTTGAAATTGAGATGTCGTATTTGGGTCTTGAATGGTGTAAGTTTATTGTATTAGTTCGTGTGCAGGAACACAGTGTTGGATAATTGTTACATGTTGTGGTTGGATAGGTACATAGAAATAATAGAGTTCAAATGTTTTGTACTGAGTTGTGCGTCTCATACTTGCTAATGAAAATGTTATTTTGAAATTGAGATGTCGTATTTGTGTCTTGATTGGTGTAAGTTTATTGTATTAGGGTGTGTGCATTAACACAGTGTTGGATAATTGTTACATGTTGTGGTTTAACAGGTACAGAGAAATAACAGAGTTTTAATGTTTTGTACTCAGTTGTGCTTCTCATATTTTCTTTTACATTGATGTTACAGGTTATTGGTTTACTTGCATAAAGAGAGACAAGTTTCTAGGTTGGAAGTGAATGAGTACGAGAGTAGGTTATAAGTTGGCAATGTGAGACAGACGGAATAACAAATCATGAGGTTTAGCATAGTTAGTGTGGAATAACGGTTAAGAATCTTACTAGTTATTGTAGGTGCACATCATGTTGGATAGTCATTACACGCAGTCATTTAATAGTGACACTAGGAGAAGTGCACTGTAAAATTGGATGAACAATGACGTAAAATTGTTTAACGGGTTTGTTGCTTCATTCATATTGTTGAAGAGGGTGATAAATAAAGGAGAATGTGATTGAATTGAACTTGATAGGCAGGGGAATAGATTATGAAATGACTAAATGAGGGATAATTAACCAGAAAATTTGGTATTGAGACAAACAAATTGTGAAAAGGAAGATTACTTGTACAATAATTGTTGTGGTTGGACATCATCTTTGATAGTTGTTACACGTAATAGATCAGAAGTTACAATAATAGAACTGGTCTATAGAATTTCATGAAGATACTATAAATTTGGATGACCCCTTATTCTACTGCATTGGTATTGTACAGTAGCATAATAAATAGAAGAAGAAATTGATGGATGAAGTACAATCTGATAGGTAGAACAACAGATTATGTAGATTAGTGGCAGTTGGAATAAATAACAAACTGTGAAGAATGAGTTACTGAGTGTGAGAAAAATTGTTACAGGTTGTACTATAACTAGCGTGACTAATATTTGATGCTCATATATTATGTTTAGCAGTACTTCATGATATGTTATGACTGTGGCTGGAAAAAAAATTTTGGAACTGAAGTGCAATATGTTTGTTAAAAACATTAGTTTACAATGGCAAGAACGCGAGCAGGAAGCACACTTCAGGAAGCAGACAGAGAAGATCTCGCCGAAACAAGTGGTGGTACAGAACACGGTGCAGCACCCACTTCATCGAATAGGTAAGTGGCCAGTGCTTGCGTAAGGTCTTGGCAGGTTAGACTTGGCATCATTATTCAGCATTACAATGTTGACTGTTCAGGGGCAGGATGGGAAGGAAAAGAAGCAGTAAAAGGAATGATCGTTTAGGTGGGGAGGAAGAACTGATTACAGCGGGAACAAGCGAGGTCGCAGAACCAGTCCCACCATTGAATCCATGGATGAAGTTCAGGTAAGATTATTGAATATGAGGGAAAAATAATGGTACTAAATAGCACATATAACTTTGGAGTTTTGAATGTGGACAGGAAAGAGTATCAACACACGGTTTCGGCGAAGGGTGTTAAGCTGACCGAGGTATGCTGTCTTAGCAAAATAAACTGAAGAATCATTGAACTGATGGGGTGCCTAAGGGAAAAATAGTGAAACGAGCAATTATTTTGTGTTTAGTCTAACGTGTTTTTTGATTTTATTTATTCAATGCAGTATAATGACATTGCCCGGGCAGCATATAATAAGTTGAGTGAGGAAGAAATGAGGAAGCGAAAGGAGGAATATTTGAAAGAGAAAGAAGAGTATGAGAAAGAAATGGAACGTCTAGGAAAGCCGATATTGCGAAAAGCACGGGTTCCAATCAAGGTAAATACATGGCATGATTCATCAAACATTTAATGAAACTTATATTAGTCTAATGCATATATCTAAAAAATGGTGTAGAATCAGAAGTACACTATCCGATGCTCGCCAAAGCAGATGTCAAGTTTAGTTGCACGAATCGATGAAACTAAGAAGCAGCAGATTAGAGACATAGGATTTGGAGGGCTGCTAGACATACAGTGTCACTGGATTCCTAGTGGCATAGCTACCTGGTTTGTTGACAACTTTAATCCGACATTGAGCAGTTTAAATGTTGGTGGAGATGGTGTGCTACCTTTAACGTCAAAGGATATCAGTTTAATCCTGGGGATCCCGAACGAAGGTCCCGTTCCAGTTGAAGACACCGATACAACCGAGGTTGGGGGAAGTGGACCAAGTCGTAGGACATACAAATGGAATGAGCTCCCAAATGAGTTGGTAGCCATGAATGCAGGGGAAGAATTCTTAAGACTATTCGTGGCATTTTCTTGTGGATGTCTACTGGCTCCAACCACTAGAGCCGAACACAAAATAAAGGTTTGGAACTGTACGCAATTGGTTGATAGGGTAGCCAGATTGAACTGGGCTGAGTATGTGAGGATCGTACTATGCAATAAGGTGCTAGAGGTGCAAAAGAAAAGTGAAAAGCAGCACCAATACGTTGGCGGTTGTATCTTCGTTCTGCTGGTAAGATTAGATAGTTGTAGTCATGACGAAAATATGCTCTAATTGTTACACAGTGCACCAGAGAGTCAATTAGTTTTGCGTGCGTTCATAACTACTGTCTGTATTTCCACATTTTATCAAATTCAGTGCGATGGATTGATTAGATTATGCTCAAATGAATGCATCTACGATGATGTTTTAACAGTGTGGTCAAGTTTATCTACAGTTGAATTAATTACTGTATTGTATTGCAGATTCATTATCTTGATCGGGTACAAATACTGAAGCATAAAGTGTCGAGGACTACTCCGCGAGCTAAGGCATGGACAGATGCTCTGATCTCTGAAAGGGATGCACTTGAGATTAAAAATCTTGGAGCTTATGGAAAAGGAAAACTGGTAAAATGTTATATATTATTGATCTCATTTCATATAAAAGGTAGTGGTCTATGTATTGCGTGGCTTTTCTATTGAAATGGTTGGTTTAATTTGTTGTTAAAGATTGGACAATATGATCCGGAAGATAATGAATATGATGGGCAGAGTACTGAACTACCCCCTGATTTGGTAGGAATGCTGATGAACAGCGGGCATGCCGATATCGGTGTAAGTGGGTCTGTTCCATGATTTAATGAAATTTGTTGTTTGATTAGACGTAATTACTGCATATTGTAAGCAACGTTATTGGTTATTGATAGGCCTATCAACTTCATTCATGTTGTAGTATCATGTTAATATGTGATACCAATCCCAATATTACATCCCTGTCTAGAGAGTTATTAAAAATTAAGTCACATG